ATCGACTGAATCTTACTATACGTTTGCAGTGATTTCCTCTGAATTATATTCAATATGTGAGTGCTAGATCTTCAATGAAACTAATTACTGAAATCCTACTATTCCTTCATCACAAAACCTATTAATGCCTATTACTTTCCGTGTTCCACTTCTCATTTTCTTGAGTCAATGAACCAACTCGAGTGAAATTGCTAAACGATGGAGAGACGAGTGCTTTCGCGGATGAAACATTTCCCAGTCAAATTAATTTACGATACACGCTTAATGAACATTTCTCCATGATGTCGAAGAGGGTGAGGAGGGAAGCGCCTAGACAGATCCCGACGATTCCTCCTAGGTGTTGGATAGGAGGTCCAGAAGGGTCTCTTTCTCCTTCAGAAAATGGGGGACCTGGTTGGGGATTCAAGGAATCATTCACGGTGATTTCCTTATTTGATGTTGTAGAGAAGATAAGGATGTATTAGGCAGGTGAAAATTCGAAACCTGTTTCAAGGGATAGTCCCAGAAGAACAACGATTTTCCGCCGACGATTAAATCGTTGCAGGCGCTAGAGGGATCCCTGAAGATGTGGTAGTCAATGGTGTTGCATCTCGCCGGACAATTACACTTACGCTGGTAGGTGGCCACTCTATCCTACATTTTTTAGAAATCACACAGGTGCATGATTAAATTCATTACCTCGTCGAGATCTTGACACTCCGATTTCGTGAGATTGGTTTCCTTCGGCAGGAGTGAGGGTAACATGCAGGATATATTTGGGTGGGACTGGACCTTTCCCCAGAAGCAATTCTCCATGCACTGAGCAAGGAATTCACACCAATTGCTTAGTGTTTCAAGGTACTTTTCGAGCATTTTGCCTTGTCTCGCCACAGCTCACCCTGGCATAACTGTAGTTCTCATCCACGATGCAAGGATTCTCTGCTGTGCTCTGCCTCTGGATGACCTCAGGACGAATGGCCAAACTGACGACTTTGCCTTTCTTAAGGAAGAACTTTTCGGGCTGAATCTGTTGAAAACTAGCGAATTTCTCTCTTTGATCGTGCAGGAAAATGCTGTCCTGTAAAAGACCGTGAGTCGGAATCGTGAGCGTGATGTGTGTGGGAAAAAAACACATTACGGTATATAAAAGAACTGGTTGATTATTATCACCGCAAAGTAGAGCGATTCATTGAAAGTAATGCAGAATGGGTTGTCCGTGCAAGCATCTGTCTGGTTCAGCTGGTTTTTCTTCGGGATCAGTGTATAGCACTTGTGACAAGAATAATAGTTCCAGAGGAAACGTTTAAAGAATGTTCTTTCACTCCAATGCCCGGAACCTACGCAGCGAAACATAACTCAATAATAATTCACTCATTTACGCTAGTTCCATTTTTAACCGGATTTCGATGAGAACCCACTTGATAGTAGCTCATAGGTGGTTTCTCCATTGAATGTTGAGGGACTACTCAAGTGCATCCACAAATTATCTTCCTTCCGAACCACATCCCCTAACGAGAGGGAGTCGTTCTTGCACCGTTTATATTCATCTCTAGAGATACGTGACCCCATTTGCATTGGGCATATTGTGATTGCGGGAGCCGGTATCCTATGTCACGTAGGACATGCAACGTTGTGGTTGGGAAGGACAGGTACTCTTCGACTATGAGAATCACCTGCAATTCCCAATCTGACAATTACTCATCATCCACAGGATGATATGGAAATATAGGTTTTTCAAGAAAAATATATTCGTTAATCCTTTCAAATTCGGGAGCGGTCGTTTCAAATTTGGCAGCGCTCCTATCTCCTCCCAGTTTCCCCATTTTATAGCGACTTTCGATTTCAGCATCCGTCGTTGTAATTTCTGCAGCGCAAGGAATCGCCTTTTCTTTGGTGAGATGGATATTGGGGAGGGAACAAGGAAAGGAAATGGCACAAATGTTTCTTCTTTTTTCCCTTTCATGCAAAGGGAAAGAAATGGATATTGACACTGACTCTTGCCATCGATAGGTTCTCTCCTTTGGGATCCGGTCAGGTATGTTAGTGCATGGCGAAACCACGCGAAGCACTTCTTTTGGGGTATTTGCTCGACTGCTGCCTCTCCTATTTCGAGCTGTTTCTCTGCCCGACGTTGCTGCCGAAGTTGTTTGTCCAAGTTCTATCGGAGTTTCAGGAAGGTTCACCTCACGTTTGACAGCTGCCTTGAAGTCAGTGTGAAAATATTTCTCAAATTCAAGAATGGGTGATATGCCGTCGGAAACCTCACGCGATAGTTATAAAATAATAATTTGGGACCAGGACTTGCTTGTGGGATCTAGCTTATGTCATCTATGATGACATGAATTGGTGACATGTGGTGACCAAGTCATGTGTACATGTCGTAGGAGCTCTTCAAAGAATTCCTGAACCGTCGAAGATGTGACACGCCCACGCTTTTCAACAAGAGGTTGTGCTGCCGAAATTGAAACGACGGATACCGAAATCGAAAGTCACCTGTCGAAATTGAATGAAAAGACCCGGCGGAGAGAGGATTGCTGCCGAAATTGAAAGGACTGATGCCAAATTTCGTCAGGGATGTACAATTTGTATGTAAACTTGGAATAATTCATATGATTTCGCTTGACTTCGCCTCACCTGCTTCACGGCAAGGGCCGCACATGCCGCAATCACGATTGCCTTCACAATGAGACGGACATCCTTTCCCCTCTTCGTGCTCTGGTGACAGAACGATTTCCGTGTCCTCAACTCTTCCCTTTTTGAAGTAGGTATTTTACAGGTTTTTACGTTGTCTTGGGGTATCTGGATGGAGACATCCTTCATCGTCTTCTCTTTGGACGAGGTCATTCCGGTTTCGGGAGTCCATGCCTTTGTAGGAATTCTATTCTCCTTCATGAGGAATCTGAGTCGCAACTGATGGAAAGATGCATGTGTTGAATCTTTAAAGAAAATATTGGTATACATCTTTTTTAAAGATCCCAATTTGCTTTAAAAGTTAATGAAAATTTAAATAATTTAAATGTATGAGGAATTCGCTTCCGCAAGTTCACATGTCATCCGCCAGTTCACATATCATTGATATGTGAACTGGCGGGTGTGCAGATGGACCTGGGGTCCATCATGATGAGCCCGGGAAGTGACTGAATATACTGTATATCTCCTGAAGAACTCCCAAGTTAAAAAGTATGAAACCTAGAACGGATTTGCTTCCACTTGTCCCTACCATACGCAAGAAAGGGCGTCTTATTCCATGTCATCGGTTTTAATTTTTAGCAATAAAAACCTTTATCATGCTCCTTGAATCTGACAATTTACTTAATTTCACTCACTCGGGATAATGGTTTGTCTAAATTCGATGCGTTTAATGCAAATGGTATGGGACGAACCTGTAATAAGCAATACTCTCGCTGTTGCATAAAATAATTGCTTTCACTTCTGCATGGTTTTCACACGTAGATATGGTCTTTTGAAATGACTAAAAATATGACCTTGATAAAGAGCACACTGGGGATATGAAGTGCTAATTAACTTATGGATCACCTTTAAAAGAAGCTAATGAGCTCACTTCCTCTTTGCAATGCTGCAGAGCCAATGGTAGAAAATATTTCCCTCCACAAGGATTTCGTTCCACACATTGCGTGTCGTGCGTGCTCAGCGTCAGTGCTTGGGCAGGCAGGCCGACGCACACATGTCCGCTTACATTCAAGGGTCTCCAGAATATGTAAGGCTTGTGTTTGGAACTGGAATAAGCCCTTGTAAAAAAAAATGGAAAAAGCCAAAAATATGCAATAAATGCAGTTGAGGTGCGATGAAGATGCAGTGACTCTCCTCAGCTGAAGACGGCAATGCTGTTGTCTTCCCGACATTAACATCGTGCGAGGAGACCTTAACCCATCGACTTGCCCCTCGTTCATCATCAATTCTTCATCGTTTAATCGACTGAGTCTACACGAGAATGTCAGTCTAACGTGAAGCTTCCTTTTAAAGAATATTTGTTTTCCAGCTAGCATTTCTACCTCCTGAAGGCATGGCTGACATGCCCACATTGTAAGAAAGAGGCCAGTACAACAAACCTGTCTCTACAAGAGAGCAAGCATTGCACTGCATCATCCTCTTCTGTCAGGAAATCGATGGTCATGAAGTTTGGAGGCAATCGGCGCCTCCTTTCTCCTGAACGATGCGTTCGAATTGTACTTGGCTTCACTTGAAATGAACAAGGCAATTCGATGATAGTTCAAATATTCGCGCAGTATCACAAGAAAAGGAATGGATTCTAAAAGTGGGACATTACCTACCACCCATGTCGATCTCGTAAATATTGCCTTAAAAACCACACATAATATTTTTAGCATCGTATACCTTTGAGCTAATGTTTTTCAACATCAGTATTTTATTCAATGCAATATTTCCATATGGCGAGAATTCTGACATCATCCCGACCTTTACCTGAGCAGCATTTAGCAATCCTGCCCGCAATCAATTGTCGTGGCCGATGTTTTCCATCGGAAAACGCAAAATACTATTTAAAGGTGACAGTGATTTTTAGGATACGAAAACATCAAATTCATTGGCAATTAAAGAACAATATTTTTATTCGATACAACGTCCAGATATTCATATTAAAATTTACGTTTTCTCCGCTTTTTCTGTATTGAACCGTTTTGTTGCCATGCATTTTCCATTGCCGTTGATAAACAGCGAAGAAAAAGACAATGTAAAAAAATTAAATTAATATTTTAAAAGGTTAAAGTCAAAGTAAAACCTTTCATTGTTTCAAGAACGTGAAATTCCAGGAAGGGCTCAGGCGTGTTGGCTTAAAGCAAACTCTTATTTAAGGAACCTTTTTATTTGGATCCACGATCGTTGCAGACGATCCAAGTGAGACTCATTCAGGCAGCTGACCCATGTCTCCAATTCAATAATGAAACCATGAAGGGCAATGCAAGCACATAAAAACAAATGCATCGTCGCCATCCTAATCTGGAGGGAAGACGATGGTCTTTCAACTGCAAAACATCATAATCTGTGTCTTTTCAATATCCGATTTGCCCGTGTTTCGGTGTCCATAAAAAATTACAGTGAAAGGGAAAAGAAGAAATTTAGGGAAGGTGCATGTCACTCCTTCTTTGTCAGAGCCTTCATGTACGGTCCGCCTGTTGCCACCATGAACCTGAAAGCGAAACCATTCAGGACAACGAAATATTATTCAATTTCGCAGATATTGCACTAAATTAGTATGACCCACTTAAATAACAGTCCTCTTTTTTCATCGTCTTTCAAGAAATGGTTTTCCCTCTGTTTTTCATGCTAGGTTAAGAATAAAATTCAAGAAATCATGTCGAAAATGAGGTCGTTCGGCATGCAAAAAGGAGCTACGAAGGGTATTTTATGGATGATTTGTTACCGTGGTTTTGGGATTTAATGGTGAGAATGTTTAAATGAAATCAATGCACTTTCACTCACTCACTTTGAAGATTATATCAGGACTGTGACATTGACCACATTTTAAAAACTATATTTACGTTACTAGCACGAGGGATGCAGCATTGATCAACGGCATCTGATGGGTGCGACCATGCTGCAAATGGCGAAAATGATGCAAAAGACGTGTGATTGCCCCTCCGTGGGCCATGTCATTCCATCATTTAAAATGTAAATCAATTTACATGCCCAGTCCAATCCGTGCCCTCGTTTTCACATACATCACTACGCTTGCATACAGGCGAACATGTGAACTTTTTTCGAAAAATACAAAAGTGGATTTTGACATTAGACATTCGACGATTTTGAAATTAACGGGGATTAAATGCTTGCACGCGACACGTAGAAGCCATGTACCTAAAACGTTCTAATCTGCAATGCTGAGCAAAATTAAACTGCAACAGTTAGCTCGATTTTGAAGTTGATGAATTTTTAAATCTCAAAAAAGGAATTGAAACTCCCAGTATCAGGTCCCTCTCTCCTGTAAAGAGGGACTTTTTCAGGTCTATTTCTTTAAGTTGTATTTTCAACACAATCAATTTTCACAGCGCTATTTTCCATGTAGTTTTAAAATTAATTACTCTTTTTTCTCATTCCCAACATTTTCTTCAAAATACCCATAGATTCCCCTAAAAATGCATAAAAGTATTGATGACCATAGAGTGTGAGACTAACTTCATATGGAAACAAATAAATGATATCAAAATTATGAAGAAAATAATATCACAAAGAATAAGTAGTGAATGCGTCTAAAGAAATAGTAAATTCTAGTAAATAGATATAAATTTAAAAGGGAAGAGGCAAGTTCTTACCATCTGGCGATGGACGGGAAGTGATATATGAGGGTGAAGAGCATCCATTTCTTAGCGATGCAGGGAGCAGACATTTCATTAGCGATTGCAATCAGGACCCAATCAGCGCACACTTCTACGTCCATCTCGAACGCATTCAAATAACTCTGAAAAAAAAAGGGAATTCACCAAATTCAGCTTCTGAGTGAAAGGTTTGCATCATTTTGTTTTCTGGTTTCATTGATAGAAAAATGTGAGTTCCCATCTTTGGCCCTCACAACCCTATATATTTGTTAACCATGGATTTAAGGAAATTTTAAATAGCGATGCCTTGCTCATCCCGGATGCGAATCTCTGTCGACTTGAAACTTTAACAGTTTAATAAAAGTGTATATTTCTTCAATTAGCCCTGGTGCAATTAGAGCAATTTCGAAAGGTTCTAAACTAATTTCAATACGTTTCAAGAAGATTTCAGTGCTGTGCCCCTTGACTTCCGGCATAGATGCATTGGGTGGCCATCCCTATTGTGTCACCTAAGTAACACAACTGCGAGAATTGTTACCCTCCCTATCCCTAATATGAGTCGGGAGAAAATCGAGGTGACTTCCAATTCTGAAATCAGAATATCATTTTTGGTCCTCAAATCATACTAAGAGCCCAAAGCAGTCACGTTTAAGTGCATATTTTAAGAAAAGTCTCAGGAAAACTCTAAATAAATGCATAACAATTGAGAGAAGTTCGTGGTTCATTGGACGAGGCAAGGAAGGGAAGATATGGCATGTGCCAAAATGGGGTAAGGGGATGGGACCATTTACCTTTTCCCTTCCCCTCAAGCCACCTCACAAAAGGGTACATGTTGCGTGTCGAATTGGAAAGCAATAACAAGAAGATACCTCTGAAGCAGATAGAAACAGGTTATTTTGGAATTTTATTGACTTGTGCTGATCGGGATGCTTGCAGATTCGTTCATAGAACAGATGCTGTAATGTATGCACTTCCAGCATGCCAATAACTCCGCATCGATCGAGTGACCTCCGATATACTAGGCGGTTGAGAGGCGTTCTGTAAGTCCTCATCTAACGAGTATCGTAAGTGAAAGCTTCGCTGGAAATGTTGCACCTCAGTGTGTTATGAGTATGATGTATTCCCAGAGTTCGGCAATGATTCATCATGTTTTCTCTCAAAAGGTTTCCAGCAATCACAGAAAACATTGAAGGTGCATTGCCTGATTGCTGAAAGCCTCATCCACCATCTCCACCTGGTGGGTGGTCACACTCCGTACGGGGAAAATCTTATAATATTCAACTTTTTTTTTAAGGAATAAACTATCATAGGATTCCCATGGGTTTCGATAAGAATTCTACAGTATCCTGTAAGAACCCTATTGGATTCCTATGATATTTTTAAGCTGAAAAATTTTCATTAAGTCCTTTCCAATATCTACATGATCTTTTCACAAGGGACCAGTCATCATTTTCTGTCTTCGTTAATACCTGACTTGAAAACCAGTCCAAATTCTGGGAGCCTGAAAAAGAAACGTATCAATAAACTTTTTGCAACATTTGATGAATTACTGCAACAGTGCTCCCGGTTTGAGACAAGTTTTATGAAGAATTCTCCTCCCTCTGGGAATACAACATACGCTGCACACTCCGATTTCCTATAATGTATGCCAATATCTCATTTAGGAAATTTGTTAGATGAGGATTTCCACAACTCTACTCAACCGTCTCATTCATCAATTCATACGATGACTAATTTTAGGGAATTAAAAAAAGTTCAGTCCGGTATCTTAACTGGTACGCATTGTATTGAGGAACAACATCCTCGAATTTTTCTCGTATTAATTCAAAAAGTACATTGCGTCATGCATTCAAAATATGAGCTTACCCTGTCGATGGGAGCCCGATCCTCACTGATGCCTCTGGTGGAGGGCTTGATCTTGACCAGGCCGGGGAACAGGAGGGTGATTTTCGTCCCATTCCGGGCTTCCTCCACTCGAAGGGTTTCGTAGTATCCCTGAGGGGAATGGGTGCGAAAGGATCATCGACAGAACCATAAAGAGGAATTGCAGAATTTGATTCTTTGAAATGCCTCCTAATATGTTAATGACAGTATTGCACACGTACCTACTTCACTTAACTAAATAATTTTAGAGTAAAAACGGACGATATATTGGACATATTGAAATAATTATGTACTTTAAGCACGAAATTAGAGCAAGCATAGCATGAGGGAATCAGTACCATGCTTACAATGCGTACCTGCACTTTGAGTATCCCCATTATGTTAACTGTCAACACTTTCCCCATGTTTTGGAAAAATATATGGATTAGCGAAAGAAATGCCCTTAATATGAAGTATGTAGTGTTCCATAGAGAAACGAAGAGAACCTCGCCCGCCGTCATTAGCACTCCCAGTCGATGATTGACTTGTTAGAGTGTCCTGTCATTTCAACGAGTCGTTCCGGGCTGAGTGAATTTCTGCAAAACATGGTTCTGCCTAAAATTCAACTTGGCACGGTATCAGTTGATCGGTCCCGATTGATCAAAATCGCTTTTCTCCGTTCCATGGAAACGTGCACTTTCGCACACTCCATGCCACCCGGCGAGCTCTTTGGGATCCGTCTCTTTCGATGGCTTGATTATATCACGTTGACTGATATTATCAATCCAAGTCAGTTCGTCACTGCCAATTCGAACATTCAAATATCTCCTCAGCTTAACAAGAACGCCACTTCAGTTGCTTTATTAAACATAACCATCCTGAGAATATTTCGTAGTACTGTTAAATATAGCGCACAACGGCAGAAACTATAACTCGATCCAATTATATGCGGATAGTATCGCTGATTTCCCATCACTTACTCTTTCATTCCCTAGTAGCATCGAATCGACATTGATTCAATGTTGGTTCAGCGTCCGGATGTTGAATCAGCATTAGATCTATGTTATTTCACAGTTATATGCTACAAGGGTTGTCACTACGACAAGCAATAATAAGTGTTTCCCTATACTTTGAAAACATGATTTGGTGCCCTTCACTTCGGGAACTGATAGCCCAAGGTCCACGGTGGTGAAAATAGTGCATTACCCCTTGGTAGATGCTGGACCGACCAGAGCCACATTGACCAAAAATGAGTGAGCATTCAGGAGTTCCTTACTTCATGTTTTGCACAGAGAGTTACAAAGACAGCGATCGTCAAAAGTTAGGTGAATATAGTCGACGGAAAGTAGGATTTTAAATATATCACATCTGTGCATGATTCATACGGAAGCTGCTTAAACTCACTTGAATGGCGCGCTTTGAGGCACTATAGGCTGACGACTTGGGAGTGGAGAAGATGGCAAGGACGCTGGATGACGCGACGATGTGCCCTGCCTTCCTCTGCCTGAAATGGGGCAGGAGGGCTTTGGCTAGCATGATGTTGCCGAGGAAGTTCACGTCGAACAACCTTTTAATCGCGTCCCTCGTGGATTCGAACACCGTCTGGAGTGACGATACCCCAGCGTTGTTGATGAGGATATCTACCTGAAGAAATTCATAGAAAAGAATAATAATTGAGTCCGTGGAGAGGATGACTTCTTACTATAATTAAAATGTTCCTATTAGTCTCGTACATTGACCATTCTGTCAGACCATGGACCCAATCTAAATTTTCTCTTTATTCCTACACTCTGGAATAAATGGTTTCACTTGACAGTGTATAATTATATCCCTTACTGTTAGTTGCTCCTATTCCACTCCCTGACAACATCATAGGCTCGTATAAATAGCCGAATGCTCAAAAGTAAACATGGCCTAAATGAGCAGGTAGATTTCTCTGATTTTTTTATACCGATGGATGCAAATCATTTTCTGCCAGTAATTATTCCGCAATGGTAAAAAAAGTCTCACTTGTATAAATTGAAGTCACATTTGAAATGGGAACCAAAAGTAAATGAACAACTATTTATTAATACTTCCAACGGAACGCAATCTTCAGCAAAGATGAAATTGCCAAAAGGATTCTCCGAACATTAAAATACCCTGTTAGGTACAATTCGCATGAAAAGTATCCAGAAACCATTAATCAGTGTTCTGGGGATTGCCATTCAGTCGACCAAGTTAGTGAAATACTCCAAGCCTCCCAACTTAATGCAAAATGATGAGCAGAATCGGATTCCTTTTGAACTTTACCGTTTGAGGACCAAACACAGTGCTCAATCTTCAAAAAAATAGTCAGTCTAACATTGGTATGGGATGATATATCATTGGAGGATAATTTTACTTCTGTATTCACATCCCGTATTGAATTACAAATTATTATATGAATTGAGATGTACCAGATTAAAATGCATTTTCTAAACCGCCATAATGCTTTCTTATCACAATACACAAATGGAAGGTAGAACTAAAACTTTCTATACATACCTTCTCAAAATGGTGCAGAACGGACTCCACCCATTTTTCGTGCATCTCGCAATTGGCGACGTCACCGTAAATGAGGAGGATATCTTCATCTTTCAGGGAACCTTTGGCATTCTCTAAGAGATATAGAAATGATTCATTCTTTACATGCACGTCACCTCACAACGGCAAGAAATAGCTTTCACGATTTCTTACGGAGGCAGAGCTCTTTGACGGAGTCGAGATTCGAGGCTTTGAGGCTGTGCAGGACGAGCTTGGCCCCGACTTTGGCCAAGGAGACGGCCAGCTCCCTCCCGATCCCCGACCCGGCGCCAGTTATCCATACCACCTTCCCCCTTAGCGCCTCTGCACATGGCAAAAGGAACTCACACTCCTTGTTGCATACCAAAATTAAAGGCAAACTTTTCCGCTATTAATTCCACATGACCTTCCAACAATTCTGCAATACATATAGGGGAGCTCATATCCATTGAACTATCCTTCATGCATTCCAACCTCATTTTATCTAGTATATAGAAGCGCATATAGAAGCGAAGTACTAAAGCGCCAGCCCAGATGGAGATCCGTAATTTCAGTAGTCACTGCAGGAACTCATCACAATTCGGCTTTGGACGCGATTTTATAAACGAATGTTGCTATCGAATATTAATTAGCGAAACTTCTTTTGAGGCAGTCACGTGGTTTTGGTATAATTCATATAACATGCTATTTCGAGAACAGGAAGGAATTGGTTTGACGCTTTTATTACAACAACATCATTGGTGATACGTTTCTTGAGGTGATGAAACATATGGAAATGCATGATTATATGTATTTTTAATGGATTTTCATAACCAGAATGATACTTAGAGGAAAGAAGAAAAGGTACATATTACTTTCATATGGAATATGAAAAAGCAATGGCATAATAAAATGATAGAATGGTGTTTTCTTAAGTAATTGCAGACACGAATGTAACTCGATAAACATACCATAGAATTGCATTTCGTTACTCATATAGCGTTGAAATAATGATTAAGCAAATATTAACTATTTTTTGGACTAACTGAACTAACAAGGGACACTACCAAGTGATAATTTCAGATTTTCACCAAGCTTTCGTCATTCAAAGAGCTCTCAAAACGAAGTCAAACGACACCAAAACTTGCGGCTGAGAAATAGATTTAGGCTCATAACTGGCTCTCTCAATTTTCAGTGATATATGATTATTATAGTCATGGCCCTATTTTCTTTGACTATAACTTTCCAAGGGAAAGTCAGATTGAGGTGTTATTTGACAGAGAGGTTCATCAGTAAAGGAGGTTTTTTTCCATGCCGCTAGGTGGTGCTGCATGCCGACAGAGGGCGTTTATGTCGACAGCAACGCCATCTACCTACTAGCTATGTCATTTTTTAACCACTGGGAAAAATTAGTTCAGGCTTATGAATCTCTTTGCCAATTATTATTTTCTGCATCCAATAATTTCTTCAAAAGATATGGACAAAGTTGGATTTTAACCAAACAATTGAACTTTTTTGGTCATAACTTTTTAAGGAAAAGTCAGATGCAGCTGATACTTGAAAGAGAAGTTATTCTGTCTATGACTTATTTGTTCCCTTGCCTGACACATATTTGTTCCTATTGACAGAGGGTGTAGTAATTGCATACACGAAGGTTAAATGTGAAGGAGCACGAAGGCTCTGTTTACAGTTTCTTTGTTGGTAATACCCCTAGTAGCACATAACATTGAAACAACATTGATTCAACATCCAGACGTTTAACCAACGTTGAATCAATGCTGATTCAATGTCATGTCTTACTATGGACGTAGTAAGAGCACATCAACATGAGACGTTACTGCACTCAGAGTTTCATATTCTCTTGGTGAGAGTGAAGTTAATGCTATATGTATTCCTTTTTTGTAGGTGATTCCAATTCTCCTTCTCTTACATTTGCATATGGCACCACAGCGCCACCTGTCAACATGTAGAACCATGTACTGGGTAAGGGAATGAATAAGTCATGGACCCTTGAACATCTCTCTCAAACATAAGCTGCATCAGACTTTTCCTTAATTTTTTCCAATGCTTAAAAAATGGCATGGCTAGTAGGGAAGTGGCGCTGCTGTCGACATCATCGCCCTCTATCGGCATGCAGCGCCATCTAGCGGCATGGAAAAAAAACCTCCTTCACCGACGAAACTCTCTGTCAAATATCACCTCGATCTGATTTCCCTTGGTAAGTTTTAGTCAAAGAAAATAGGGCCATGACTATAATAATGATGCATCACTGAAAATTGAGAGCCAGTTATGAGCATAAACCTGTTTGTCAGCCGCAAGTTTTGGTGCCGTTTGAATTCGTTTTGAAAGCCCTTTCAATGACAAAAGTTTGGTGAAAATCTGAAATTATCACTTGGGTAGTGTTCCTTGTAAGTCTAGGTCCGAGCTCTCTTGCATTTTGCTCTCTTTGGATGTGAGGGCTTTCATGTACAATGGGCATAAATTAACTTATATCTCTAAGTAAAATCCTGCAAGTCACAGGAAGGCAAACGATTATTCCGAAGCCAATGACTTAGCAGAAAATCTTCGAGATATGCACGGCCAGGAAACCTGGCCAACGTCCAAATCCGAGGTATTAGTTCAGATTTGGCACACGAGAGACTGCCAAAGACATGAAAAAATGCATAAGATTCTGTCACAGTTATTCTCCCTGATGAAAAAGAAAAGTAGTGTCTAAAAATAACTCCTCGAGGAAAATAATGATTACCATAACAGCAAACCTGGTGATTTCCCGAAGTACTTGTAGAAGTAAAGTGAGGGATCACAGTCAATTTTGAGGAAGATCAGCTGGAGGAGAACGATCCCAAAGAGAAATAGGGCAATCCAGAGGAACATGATGCTTTCTGACTGCACCTAGCACCTTGCGAACGAGAGAAAGTACTGCGATTTGAAGGACGGGAAGGCAATGGTTCCCAATGCCGGTGCGAGAAGTTGGGCTATAGGAAAGGGAACCCGAAAATTTAGAAACACAATATCAGTAGGTCGCCGCTCATGGGATACACTTTTCCAGATGAATGATGAAGTGTCAGGTGGAGGACGCGTAGGACTTCAACGAATGATCAGTTGCACGGCTCCTGCTCGATGGAGCCGATAGTCTCTCCCCTGTCTCTTTTCCATGAGCAGTGGGCGGATAGAAAGAGAAAGGGAAGCATGAGTTGGCCAAAAAACAGCGAAGTTAACCACTCCAGTCGATGCATTCTGTTTGATTTCTATTCTTTGGCAGAATCATCATGAGTCTCACTCTCATTACCCCGGAGAACTGTGCACGAGTGCTGGCAGACATTTGCGGGAAAAAAATTCTATGGTGGACCACTTCCTTGAATCTGCGAACGGAATTTATAAAGTAAAAAAACGTAAATATTGGCATCATTGCAATCACCATTGATGTATGAAGCCTGGGGGGGGGATATGAAAGTACTACCGCCGAAAGTGAAAAATAATCACGCATTGGTAACCATCAGAACTTCTTCCACCTAGGAGTGCCAAGAGATGCTAGAGTAACGAGTTCATGTCAGGAGGAACAAAACAACAAGTAACAAGACGTGGATATGAAAGTCCTGGAATATCTGGAATTGAGGCTCAAGCACCCCTATATAAAGGAGTTCCTTCGAATGCTGAAGTCTCCACAAAAAAATTAGTTTCTGTATGCAGGCACTCATGAAATAAGTACGAAAATGAATACACCGCTTAGCATTTTTCTCTGAACTGGAGAACTGCGCGGTGTTTGACACCAAAAACATTATCTCGATCTCTCATGATTTCTGCACACACAAGAGCACGACGTATGCAAGTCGATCCACGCGAATGTCTTCAGATGACTTCGCACATCGAGTGAGCTTTCCTTTGATGCATATTCTCCGAGAAGTGACAGGATTCTCAACGTTGGCCAACTGTGTGAATGCAAATGAAATGTATTCAAAATGAAATCAAAATGAATTCAAGCGCGAGGAAAAGCTCGGATTTTCTGTCAATTAAGCCGGTACCGTTATTGCGATGACTGGTCTCGTATATCAGCATAAGTATAGTGTTCCATATTGTTCAGTGCCTTTTGATCTCCTCCGAGAGGGTAGACCTTTGATGCGTGATTTTGTTCTTGAAATGAAATACATTTTAATATAATCTTTTCATGTAGTGGACTCAATTTTGCACGGATGTAGAAATCAAGTGGAATGTTGAAAATTATTGGACATACTCTTAAAAAAGGCTTGTCCGGGACTTTGGATAATCTGTCCACACAACACGTCACCAACCATCAATCTTTTTTTCCAACAACATTTCGACGAACGGCACATTTTTGGACCTTATTAACTAATTATCTATATTATAAATATTCCGACATTTTCATTATCTCTGAACGCTTCTACTGTCGCCGCTACAGTTCACAAACATCACAATCATTTGGGACAATCTGATTTAATTCTCGACAATCGTGTAGTCGAACCGCTCTGTCATATGCTGATCTTCCTTGTCGGTTCAATCATCGTATGTCAGATTGAAGGTCGCAAGAACTGACCCCATGCTCGACCTACTGCCACCTCGACCCATCTTTCCCCGAGTAAATTCCATTAGCTTGGGGAAGAAAGAACAACCCGTTCCCTCTACGTTAAAAACAGAAGGGGTATTTCGGAAGATAGTGCTTGCTCTTACCTCACCTTTATCGTGTTCTACTTACTTTTACATGTCTAAAAGCACTGGGGAGGACTTTTCCTGGGATTTATTGCGTGGTCTTTTTGTTCCTTGTTTCTATTCAGGACTTTCTCGTTAATTTGAGGGGATGATATCGCCACAGATGGTACAACTCCTGCAGAAAAGTTTCTGAAACCGATTTCATGGTGAGCAGAAGTAAATGAAAATGAACATCTCAGAGAAGTAATTAGAACATTCAAACCTGCATCGAAGATTCATCGAATTATTTTAAAACACCTGGTACCAACGTCGTTGAATATCGTGAAGTAAGCAACAGTCATCTTTCAATGCGTCATATCTTCTTGCGAAGCAATTTTAACCGGAGGTTAAACATATAGCACGCGTGGTTTTGACCATTGGCTAGGCCGAGCGACGATTGTGCGTTTGGACATGGCCTCTACAGGCCAATCGATATGATTTTGGGCTTGAAGAGAGATTTTCCTCATCATCCCAGAATGTGCCTTTTCGAAACGGCATTTGCAAATGCGCCTCATAAAAAGGAGGACAATCGAAAAACGGAAATTCGTTCTCATTTCTCCCGCCGTGAATGCCGTGAATTCGAGGAAATTGATCATCCATAATGGAATACTTCTCACATAATGGAATGGAATTCCTAATTTCGCCGCCACTTGCGTTCACACGGGTTCCGCGAAGAAGGTTCCATCACCGCAGTTTCCTCGTGGGGTTCAGTCTCTAAAAATGAAGAATTTCAGAATTGCTGAAATGGATGCTCATAGATAATCGTCATCAACTCGTTACTGTGCTTCCGCTCCTGAATCTACTTGTATTTCCCTGCGAGAACAATGTGATATGGAGTCGCAGGCAGTCCCTTCACAGCGCCGAAGAATCCCACCAGCTTGTAGCATCTTTCCTATCTCACTCGATCACATCGAAAGCAGAATCCACGACGGACAACGTGATTCAGCGCTGCAGGCGTATTTTCAATGCGAGCGCCTTTAAATGACCCCCGAAAAAGGAATTTCAATTGCGTCCCTGGAAAAAATATACCATCGTCTCTTTTTCCGAATGGTGTAAATTACGTCTCAATCAAATCTAACATTACGAAATAATTATTTCCGAAAGGTGGGCAGGACTCTGGACACACCCTGTTGCGATTGCCGTCTGCAGGGTAAGTCTTTTAAAAGTAGATCGATTAAAGTATACCAAAGTTTTTATAGCCTGGTCTATGGCAGCAACGGCATAGCATAACTTTCGGCCTCTGTCAATTAAAGTGCTAGATTAGATTAGATGTCATGAGAGAGGCTAGCAGGACAGGACGGGAAGAACGCAGTGGACGGGCGGGACTTGAACCCGGTCCTCTTATTTGCCGGTAAGGTGCACTACAATTAACGGCACCGAATCAAGGACATGCATACATGGTGTCTATCACCATTCATAAGGCTTTCTGTTCCAAAGAATAAGGGCACTACTTCCATTCAACGTGGCTACACATTAAAATTACTACTTCTCATCTCATCTTACGGAGATAAAATATACACTAACGCAATCTATTCATCAAGAGTTTGCGATTGATGTATCACATTCACCATTCGATGCGTCCTCGGACTTTCAATTCGCAGAAAGAGAGATTCAGTTAGCCATCAGATGTAAAGGGCGTCGTTTAGATGCAATAGACTGCGTAGTCCGATCCAAGAGAGAGCACTAAAGAAGTAGCGTTTGAAAAAAGTTAACTTTTTATTTAATTAATAAATTTTAACATTTTTTGGGCAAGGTTTCAGACCATGAAAATCAATATGAGACCGCTGTAACCACCATACGACCACCCCGTCATGATTAGGTGATTCGGTAAACTGCATAATATATGTGTATACATTATTAGTTTCTTAAATTAGTAAATGGAAATTTAACTCCTTCACCGTTCCTATAGGAATCGGGGAAAAAAATGGTTTCACTCCTAGATTCCCGTAGGAATTCTATTGGATTCTATGAGATAGTCCCCCCTCCACAGCCTACATGATATGAGCTAGGAAACAATTAATGAAACATTTGGAATATTTGTTCAATTTGATTCTACCCAATCCCATTTTTTTTGTTTGAGATGTCATATGATCATGAAAAACTTTAATCGCATCTGTGCACTTACGTTTCGACAAGCTCCTGATGCCGTAGCCGAATTCGTTATCTGTTCATGGGTCCTCTCATTCCCATTCCCTCTCTTTCGGATGGTAAAGCCCCATGTGTGAAAGTTTTGAAAGTTTTGGCCACACATCAATTACTGAAAAACTGATTTACTTGGCAATGCGGAATGCCCTGGAAATTCTTCCGATCTGCATGCGGCTGAGAACATCGGGGCAATCCCGAAAGATCGAATTGAGACTCGCTTGCACGTTGCGAGCAGCATGGGGGAAACGTTACAAAGCAACGTCAACAGAGGGTTGAAGGACGTGGAAGATGACACGGAACTCTTTAAGCGTCTCTTGGTTTCTTAACCCAAGCTGTCACCTAAGCTGTCTTAAAGCTGTCAGAGATGCAGCCGTTAGGCACACAACTTACTAGGCGTACCTCTTTATATTCGAAAATGAATGCTCGCCCTTATATGAGTTCTCCGTATGACTTTTTTTCATCCTAGCTCTTATAGTTCTGACTGTGGAAGGGGGGCTATCCATGTGCAACACCCGGTATATGATAGTGATGGAACACCTGGAATTGAGGCGCAGGTACGTTGAACGCGGTTTCTGGGATAACATCAAATTCAGATTCATTTGGCAGGTTGGGCATTATCGGCAGCGTTCTTTATTGTAGTGTCTTACGATCTCCTCCAAGAGTGTAGACCAGCGATGCGTGATTATGTGCTTGAAGTAAAAAGAGTGGAGCGGAAGGAGTATTAACTGAATTTCCAGGGAAAGATGAGTTAGTTCATGCTTGCTCCCCTCCCTCTAACAGGCACTTCATGACACTTTTTCATTTAGTGCACTCTCAATTTTGAGAAAAAGGCCTCCCCGTTAAAAAATGAAGAAAGTATTTTGGAAAATATTGCTTGCTAAAAACGAACCCTTTTCATGTTCTCCTTCATGTTTCATGTCTGAAGGCATTAAGGTGCATTACTCAATTTAATTGTGGTAATATTTTATTCTTGCTGTTCATTTTTCTGCTAATGATTTTCAAGTTAAGGTGATGATATGGCCACAGACTGGACCTAGCTTCTGCGGGTAAGTTTCAGAAGTGGATTTGTACGGTGTGCAGAAGTAAATGAAAATGCACGACTGGCAAAATTTATTGGAACATTAGTTTCTACCTGGGGAGGTAATCTACATTTTTTGTTAGAATGGGAAATAGTAGCACTAAAAATGTTGCAGCAATTGCCTACTCTACTTTGAAAAGGATCGTAATGGAAAGCCACCTTGAAAGATACCTGGAAAGATAAGTCATGAGACAGCCAGCCCGAAATGCATATGAATAATAAAGCATACGAAAAGCGGTATCATGAAAGTGATAGAGACGTATGTCTCACTTGCTCTCATGAGAAAAGAGGAATAAAATATTAATTTTTGTCTGAAATATTAAGCAATGCTTTAAACTAACGCACAATCATCGCTCAGCAATCACAAGATTTCCATGCACAAATTAAGCACACATATATTCATTTTAATAAATCGTCATCTTTGTAGTAAGCAATTACACAAGGGTTGAAACATTCAATGCTTTGGATTTTAATGGTCGGCTGATTCTGGAAATCGGCATTGTATCTTTTTTTTGCTACAAGATGCGAGTACTTCTCTCTTGCATGTTTCTGGAGAAAGTAACCGGAAGGGAGGGCAAAAAGGAAACATAGCAAACGAAGGGATGCTGCCTATTTCTTCTTGGTAACAGCGTTGGAGGCCCTTTCCCCTATTCTTACCGCGATCCTGGAATCGAAGACATTCATGAATGAAGAGCATGATGGAAAAAAATTCAGAAACATTACTCATGTGTTTCGTAATTACTCATGATATATGACTTTCTTTTATTTTCATCGGATAAAGGTGATGGAGAAAAGTGCTACGACGTCACTGCATCAGAATTTCATCACCTGATGAAATAAGCGTTATTTTAATCAATACCCACTTAAACTTATATTATTATTACATATGTGCGATAGTAATTTATTTCATTGCTTTAGTAATATTGTTCATTATTTTATTAATTGTTAATTTTATTTGTGCGAGAGAACATGCCAGTCAATGAATGAGAGGAGTATCAAATGGTCGAAAAATTTCAGTGTTCATTACTTTCATCTCACCCTGTAACTATCGTCCTTTAACTTTTTGTGTACTTATCTTTTATTGTTAAGGTATTTATATTGCTTATATTAGAGTGCATAGGAAAAGTAATTCTAAAATCCAATGAATTCAGAAGAAAGTGCTGTCTCGAAAGATAACAGAATGCAAGAAAATGTAAATGAACTTTAAATGTTCACCTTTTTTTTTAGAAGAAAATTTGCTATTGGAATAAATTTCGAGTCTCACCATTTACAAAGATTCGGGAAGTAATACACGAGGCTGATGATGATCCACTTCTTAGCAATGCATGCGGAAAACACGTTGTTAGCGATTGCGACCAGCGCCCAGTCTACCAATGACGCCACGTCCATCTTGAACGGCTCGAATACGCCCTACGACGGAAGGAAGTGGGAAACCAATAGTGTTTTACTTGATATACGTGATTTCTGAAACTTCCGGGGACCCCTCTAATAGGTGAGTATGCAGCGGCCATAAATAAGCATGGAACGGGTATTTGGATATTTTGATTCCATATTTCTGCATGCAATGTTCCATGTGTCTTGTTTATAAATCGTTATCACAATCAGAGCGTATTTCGAAGGGAATTGTTTGTCATGTTTGCCTGTTACTATGACAAATGTATTAAAATCCTAAGTCATAATAATTTCGTTAATTTTTGACCATCTATTTATTCATGAGAAAAGGACTTATGGGCTTTTGAACACATAGTTGTAAAATGCACGATTTTCTAAACATTTTCGAGAGAAACGTAATATTCCTCATGCAATAAATATCGCGCGTTAGGTACATTATAATAACTGACCATGTCCATACTTTCCCCTTTCAAATTAATAGAATTAGCGAAGATGTTTGTGTTGACGTAGCCTGGCTGCAAGGTGGTGATTTTGATCCCATTCCCCACCTCCTCAGCTAGCAAGGCGTCGTAGAATCCCTGTGGAAAAAAAGATGAGTTATCAACAGGAAATCTAATACAGATGTTCATTTCTAGTCGCATCACATTCCACGCGAATTTCAGAATGAACAAAGGAACGGGGAATGAATCATAATTTCCTATCATTCCAACCGCATTGTTATGTAAGTTTGGATGAGTCTTCAATGCATCAGGCTAATTGTAAGCGAAGCGAAAAAAATTGGGCTGAGGAGTTTCCACTCCCAAAATGTTACACTAGGCAGTATATAGTTCCTAGTAATTCGTTCTTCGTCGCCTAGATAGGTTGGTCGAAAACGGTTTGGTTTCATAATTATACGTAATATCAGCCAGTTCCTGAATTGTGCTAATTGCTGCTAGCCGCTCATTGCTGTTCCAACAGTGTTTCTTATCACCGCTTTCGTGCATGACATCACTGAGCAGCTGGATTGGATTCATATATCTACTCTCCCTCATCCAGAATTGGACATCAATGACAGGATTTGACCTGGGCAGCCAGGGATTTTGAACGGGAGTGAGGCCATATTGAAAAGGTACTTTAGCAGCATCGCTGAGGAGTCGTTCCGCGATGGTAAATACAACATCCTCGAACAGTTAAAAATGTTGCTTGTTTTCACATCGTCTTTCCACCTTACTTTTGCATTGATTGCTCATTAATCCGCGATTGGATTAATATTGCTTGGATTGATAAATTAATATATTTAATGGATTAATAAATTTTGTATTAATGATTGCTCATTATACAAAAATGTCCCACTCCATGATAACTAAACGTTTCGGTAAAGACTATAAAAGGGTACCCATCGCAAGTCTCGAGCGTGACGGCTTGCAATTGGTCATAACCTTGATGAGTGGCTTTCATTTAAAAATGATTCGATATAGGGCTCTATATCGCTTCTATCGTCAGCCACGAGGAAATACATACCTTTCCTATAGCCGATATCTCAAGGTATCTGAGAGCCAGGTCAACAAGGAAGTCACTCAAAACTATTGTGAACATGTGATATGTGCTGGATTGGACATGGCGGTATGTCAACTCCCTCAAGGCGCAGAGGATGAAAATTTACCTCCTTCAAGTCGCAGTTCTAATAGGATTCTCATCAGAAGAAGGCGACGAAAGCAAACATAACCAGGATAATACATTTCTTTGGCTGAGTCTATTATTCCATGAATAATTAATACTTGTCTTGGGATTATTATGATCGCGATAGTCATCAGCGAGATCAACGTAACACGGCATATAATCAAGGAACCATCATATCCGAGGATAATGCATCAAGAAGCCGCTCTAGACTCAACTCATTCACCTGAACAGCCCGTTTGGAAGCACAATAGGAAGAAGCATTTGGACCGGAGAAGAAAGAAAGGACGCTGGATGTCACGACGATGTGCCCTGCTTTCCTCTGCCTGAAATGGGGCAGGAGGGCCATGGCCAACCCGACGTTACCGAAGAAGTTCACGTCGAATAACCTCCGTGTCAAGTCCAGTGGTGTTTCATATGCCTTTTGGAAGATGTTCATCCCTGCGTTGTTTATGAGGATATCCACCTGGAGAAAAGAAAACAACTTTAGTACATGTTGTCCGCATATTGGTATCCATTGGCATCCATGAGCGAATGCTTCCTAATATACACTGGCCGGCCAGAGGCTTGTGTTTATTTCGACTAAAAAATGACTCCATGGAGAATCAGGAATTTCAAGAATATTAAAGAGGGAAAATTTAAACTCTTTTAGACAGATGAGTCATAACTGAAGTAACTGAACTGAACTAACTTGCCTGCTACACTCTAATGATGGCTTTTAGAAAAAGTTAACAATCTCAAAAAATTAACATATTAATGAATGAGAAAATATCTGGAAATATATGATAATGACAAAGCTAACGTCAAAGAAATGATATATCATCATCACAAGCAATATTTGCAAATGGATGGATGCGTCATGTTCATCAGACGACTGAAAACCCGATGGTATTGGCACTGTGACGTTAATTTTTTTCTGCGAGAAATTCAGTCAAGCACATAGGTTAGCACGCCTCTTTGGCCCAATCTACTGTAGCCATCATATGTTGAAGTTATTGACTAAATTGCCTCAAGAGCTGGTTCCGCTGTACTACCACGTAGAAGGAAGAGGAATCCATCGTTTAATGAAGAGGCTGGTAAGCTCATGTAAGTCAGCTTCGTCCATAGACTAAAGGTAACATGACCTAAAAATGACAGCCATAGAAAGAAACCAAATAATGAGCAATAGTAAAGTGCATCCTGTAAAAAGGAAATTCATCGGAAGAAAAACCACTGTTCTTCCAAATACTTTTAAGGAAACCAATCATGTTTCCATCCATACCTTCTCGAAGTGCTGCAGAACGTGTCGAACCCATTCTTCGTGTAATTCAACCTTGGCAACGTCTCCGTAAAGGATGAGAATGTCTTCCTCGCTCAGGCGTCCTCGTGCGTTCTCTGCGATAGAAAGAAAGGGATTCTCCAACCCGCGTGCTTGTATGTGTGCAGTACAGGAATGGTATTCCTTTTCCCTCACCGAGGCAGAGGGCTTTCACGGAGTCGAGATCTTCGCCTTGAAGACTATGGAGGACGAGCTTGGATCCGATCTGGGCAAGGGAGACGGCCAGTTGCCTTCCAATCCCCGACCCTGCACCCGTAATCCATACTACTTTCCCCCTTAGCCTCTCTGAATATACCAAAGAAAATATTTATATCCGTTGGTAATTGCCATAAAAGAAACTTCTGCCGTACTCTTGCGACAATTCATGTAAAGAATTGCCGAAATAAGGAAAGTTCTCACCGATATTCATGCAACGACTTTTGGGTTGATTTTATATGTATAGTAGGGCCACCACTCCTCAGGCTGACACTAAAAGGAAGGCTTTAGGTTGACACTAGAGACGCTGTCATGCAAAGTGTGAAAAATGTATATTTTCCTTTGCGGCTCTGTAAGCTAGCTCTCAAGGTCATGAGGTTCGGGCAATAAAAAAATTCGGTTTTCTGATTTTCTGGCGTTAACACTCCTCTTAGGATCACCCGTTACCATAAATAGGATGATGGATGGAGGCGACAAAATTCGCCGGTGTCAGCCTAAAGAGTGGCCCGACCATACTTGCTCATCACATTCCATGAGTCTGAGATGTAATATTTCTAGATCCAAACTTTGCAAAAGCCATGGCAAATATATAGGGCCATTACAAATCACCAGCACCTGAGATGTAAGGTTAGCGTTTTAATATCGGGCAGAGATGACTGTAATAGAATTGCTGTAGTTAAGAATTTCCAACACGTCCCAGTTAGTATGCTTGATAAACTCGACGAAAAAATAATAAATGAGNATTGATTTGCAAAGCCATTTCTGATATTTTCCCATGGGTAGCGTTCAGAGCTCGCACTGCCGAACGTTAACCAGTATTGGAACTACTCACCGAAAGTAAATTTTTACTAAGCTATATCCCGAGATATGCGCTTCTATCGTCAGCCACGAGGAAATACATACCTTTCCTATAGCCGATATCTCAAGATATCTGAGAGCCAGGTCAACAAGGAAGTCACTCAAAACTATTGTGAACATGTGATATGTGCTGGATTGGACATGGCGGTATGTCAACTCCCTCAAGGCGTAGAGGATGAAAATTTACCTCCTTCAAGTCGCAGTTCTAATAGGATTCTCATCAGAACAAGGCGAGGAAAGCAAACATAACCAGGATAATACATTTCTTTGGCTGAGTCTATTATTCCATGAATAATTAATACTTGTCTTGGGATTGTTATGATCACGATAGTCATCAGCGAGATCAACGTAACACGGCATATAATCTAGGAACCATCATATCCGAGGATAATGCATCAAGAAGCCGCTCAAGACTCAACTCATTCACCTGAACAGCCCGTTTGGAAGCACAATAGGAAGAAGCATTTGGACCGGAGAAGAAAGAAAGGACGCTGGATGTCACGACGATGTGCCCTGCTTTCCTCTGCCTGAAATGGGGCAGGAGGGCCATGGCCAACCCGACGTTACCGAAGAAGTTCACGTCGAATAACCTCCGTGTCAAGTCCAGTGGTGTTTCATATGCCTTTTGGAAGATGTTCATCCCTGCGTTGTTTATATGAAATGGGGCAGGAGGGCCATGGCCAACCCGACGTTACCGAAGAAGTTCACGTCGAATAACCTCCGTGTCAAGTCCAGTGGTGTTTCATATGCCTTTTGGAAGATGTTCATCCCTGCGTTGTTTATCAGGATATCCACCTGAAGAAAACAATACAACTTTAGTACATGTTGTCCACTTATTGGCATCCATTGCCATCCAGGAGCGAATGCTTCCTAATATACACTGGCCGGCGAGAAGCTTGTGTTTATTTCGACTAAAAAATGACTCCATGGAGAATCAGGAATTTCAAGAATATTAAAGAGAGAAAATTTAAACTCTTTTAGACAGACGAGTCATAACTGAAGTAACTGAACTGAACTAACTTGCCTGCTACACTCTAATGATGGCTTTTAGAAAAGTTAGCAATCGCAAAAAATTAACATATTAATGAATGAGAAAATATCTGAAAATATATGATTATGACAAAGCTAACGTCAAAGAAATGATATATCATCATCACAAGCAATATTTTCAAAAGCATGGATGCGTCATGTTTATCAGACGACTGAAAACCCGATGGTATTGGCACTGTGGCGTTAATTTTTTCCTGCGAGAAATTCAGTCAAGCACATAGGTTAGCACTCCTCTTTGACCCAATCTACTGTAGCCATCACATGTTGAAGTTATTGACTAAATTGCCTCAAAAGTTGGTTCCGCTGTACTAGAAGGAAGAGGAATCCATCGTTTAATGAAGAGGCTGGTAAGCTCATGTAAGTCAGCTTCGTCCATAGACTAAAGCTAACATGACCTGAAAATGACGGCCATAGAAAGAAACCAAATAATGAGCAATAGTAAAGTGCATCCTGTAAAGAGGTAATTCATCGGAAGAAAAACCACTGTTCTTCCAAATACTTTTAAGGAAACCAATCATGTTTCCATCCATACCGTCTTGAAATGTTGCAGAACGTGCCGAACCCATTTTTCGTGCGATTCCATCTCGGCAATGTCTCCGTAAAGGATGAGAATGTCTTCCTCGCTCAGGCGTCCTTGCGCGTTCTCTGCGGTAGAAAGAAAGGGATTCTCCAGCCCGCGTGCTTGTATGTGTGCCGTGCAGGAATGGGATTCCTTTTCCCTCACCGAGGCAGAGGGCTTTCACGTAGTCGAGATCTTCGCCTTGAAGACTATGGAGGACGAGCTTGGATCCGATCTGGGCAAGGGAGACGGCCAGTTGCCTTCCAATCCCCGACCCTGCACCCGTAATCCATACTACTTTCCCCCTTAGCCTCTCTGAATATACCAAAGAAAATATTTATATCCGTTGGTAATTGCCATAAAAGAAACTTCTGCCGTACTCTTGCGACAATTCATGTAAAGAATTGCCGAAATAAGGAAAGTTCTCACCGATATTCATGCAACGACTTTTGGGTTGATTTTATATGTATAGTAGGGCCACCACTCCTCAGGCTGACACTAAAAGGAAGGCTTTAGGTTGACACTAGAGACGCTGTCATGCAAAGTGTGAAAAATGTATATTTTCCTTTGCGGCTCTGTAAGCTAGCTCTCAAGGTCATGAGGTTCGGGCAATAAAAAAATTCGGTTTTCTGATTTTCTGGCGTTAACACTCCTCTTAGGATCACCCGTTACCATAAATAGGATGATGGATGGAGGCGACAAAATTCGCCGGTGTCAGCCTAAAGAGTGGCCCGACCATACTTGCTCATCACATTCCATGAGTCTGAGATGTAATATTTCTAGATCCAAACTTTGCAAAAGCCATGGCAAATATATAGGGCCATTACAAATCACCAGCACCTGAGATGTAAGGTTAGCGTTTTAATATCGGGCAGAGATGACTGTAATAGAATTGCTGTAGTTAAGAATTTCCAACACGTCCCAGTTAGTATGCTTGATAAACTCGACGAAAAAATAATAAATGAGGGAAAAGGCAAGGACACTCTTAGAAAAAGGGAGCGATTTTTCTCAAAAAAGAGAGTAAAATAGCTAACTCCAGTTTCATCCCCCTTTCCCTCTGGGAAAGGAGCGAATTTACTCCATCACCAAGGAGTAAAATTGCTCTCCTCCTCTGTGCGTAAAAACGCTCCGCTCGGAAAGTGATAGGGATGTCAGGTAAATAAGAAAATTCTCACATATATTGTGTGTCGCTTTCGCTCTCGCATAGGCGTTGACCTACCTCTGACTGTACTGATAACAGTACACGTCAGAGGTTGGACCACTTTTTATAGGTTCTGTGGGGTATCCACATTATCAGTCCCTTATTGCCTCGATTCATTGAGGTCTGATTGAGTGAAGTTCACGGAGACTGTATATTCTAGGTCTCGTATGCGGATAAAATCATACGCGTTCGAAAAGGGTTCTCAATAGGAATATGAGCTCTTTTATGGTCTGGACTCTATTAATATGCCTTGAATATGTGGATAACACATGATGACATGTCTTTTTTTATTGATTCCTATAATGAGACTAGGCGAGACATTTGTCGAGCTACTAAACAATCCTGCTCGGGACGATTCCAGGGAAAGAGGGAAGGGAACTTTTGCATACTTTGCGAAAAGCGAGACCCTTACTTCCATCTAGTGGCCTGGCGAAGAACTTCAAGGTGTTCACTTCAATACGAGCGATGAGGGAGCATTTGGTGAGTAATAAGAGAGTAAATTCGAAAACCTCACGGTGTGCTCACTTTTTACTCCCCAAATTTTCTAAGAATTTTCTAAGAGTGTACAAGGAGAATAGAAAGGGAAAAAAAACTTACCTGGGGATTTCCCAAAATACCTATATAAATACAGATTAATATCACATTCAATTTTGAAGAGCACGAACAGGAAGAACGTTGTCCCAATAAGCCACAGGAGGACACAGAGCAGCATATTGGTTTCTCCGAGGAGCAGACGTTTGGCCTTTGGAATGGATTCACTATGAAAGCAGAAAGAGGAGAGGGGATTGTTCATCCGTAACCTGATCACAGAATGCCTAAGTTTCTAGACGAACGTGCTTTCAGAGGAACCCGCTGTGTTTATGCGAAAGACGTGCTGTGCTTCAAGGAGACTGGGATGGGCTTTGATGCAACAGCTCCACGTAGTCCAAGGTCGCTTAGTTTTCATTTCTACGTGAGTGTATAAAATCGAGAAAAAGGAAGGATGACATACCAATAAGTCCGGTCTTTGTTCAGTGCATTATGAGCGTTTTGTGAAGCATCGGAGGTCCGAAGGTCACACGTATGGCGTGGGCGATCCTGACCGCTGGCTAGACCGAGCGACAATTGCGTTTTCATGTGTGACAACTCCACAGGCCAAACGCTCCGAGACATAAACACGGCCTCCAACAGAAATCTTCCTACCATCCAGGGATGTTCCTCTTGCGAAATGAAATTCGTAAATTACCCTGAAGAAATTCGAGTGAAGGCCACTCTCACGGAAAATCGGAAATTCGCTATCCATCGTTTGCATAGATAGCGAATTTTCGGGACTGGCATCGCTAACTGCAATGCCTCCCGCCTGCTGCGGTAAATCAAAGGCTTTTAAAATTTTCCATGATGAAATACGGGGCGATTCCTGAGTTCGACGCCACTTACGTTCATACAGGCAATGCAAAGAATTCCATCACTGCAATTTCCTCGTTGGTGTCCATCTCACAAAATACAGAATTTAAGAATTACGGAATAACGTGCCCTTTCGTCACTGCTTACATGATCTCAGTCGTTTGAAAGTACTCACGAACGACGCAAAGAAGCCCACGAGAGCTAGAGCATTTTGAAGCTTTTTTTTTTAAACTGGTTTTCCCGTGTCTCAGTCGCAAAGATAGGTGGCAAACAACTAAACGCAAAACCAATGGGACCGGGAGGGTCCCAAAAAAAGGTGGCATGCGAATAGTGACAGTGCCGATTGCTGCATTTTCCCTGTCTTCCTCCAGTCGTATAGCTGAATGCATGATGCTAGCCGATGATGCTTCCGAAACTGGAACTCCCTCGCGATTGGTTGGTTCATTTCCCATGGTTGCGGTCTCGACACCGAGTGGCTGTGTTGTAGACTGCAGTAACCAGCCAGGGCAGGCAGGTGCGCCCCACATAGCACCCTGCTTTGAAAGTACATCCCAATGTAGACTTTTTTTCTTGTCCTAACGGTGTTCATGCTTCATTGAAGTGCGAAAGTGCCACGTGAAATTATTGGTGGAATGGGCTTCGACAAGTGATGTCGGCGTGTTCATTGCTCGATTGCCGTTTCGCTTCTGGGGTTTTGCTAAATTCTTTTCACTTGCCCCTGTTGACACACTGCTACATTCGCATGAGCCATCGGGGACATTGCTCACAACGCATTGAATAGGATCTTAATGGAAAACCACCTGGTAAGATGTCTGGAAAGGTACGTGAGGAGACAGCCAGCCCGAGATCAGCCTTTTTAATACTAATCACATGATGAGCGGTGTCATCAAAGCCGAGGACGCATGTCTCACTCCCTCCAAACAGAAGAGAGGGAAATAATATTAGTGCTATACTGAATAGTTACGCAATATTTCAAGCTCTTTCACAATCATCGCTCAACAATCACAAAATATGCATGCACAGGTTAAACGTTTATATATTCCTCTCAAAAAATATACATCCTTCCAGAAAGCAATTGCACAAAGGCTTCGTTATTCTAGGCTTTTATGGCGTTCCATTTTTTTTGGCAGAAAGGAGTACTTCGTTCTTGCATTTTTCTTGGTAAAGTTGCTTGAAAGGACGGTAAAAAGTAAACATGGAATACGATGGGATGCTGTCTACTTCCTCTTGGTGAAGACGTTCGAAAGCATATCCCCTGTTCTCACCACGATCCTGGAATCGAAACCATTCAGGAATGAAGACTAGGATCGATAAGTTTGAAAAACATATTTTATGTATTTCTCAATGGTTTTGCACATGTAACTTTTTTTTTGCTTTTTTTTCCATCAGACTGAGGCGATGGTAAAATGAACCACGACGTCACTGCAGCGGAATTTCATCACGACGACACCTCATCATTGCATTTTCAATCAGCAAGCATTAATCTGTCCATTTAATTTTACCATCACATACATTTAGATAGATGTTACCATTGTTTTGTGCGAGAAAATACGGAAGCCAAAAAATGGGAGGGAGAGTATCAAAAACAGCTTTTTCAAGCCGCAAGTAATGGAATTGAGTGGAAGACCAAAAACTGCAAATGAGGGACAAACACGAATAGAGATATCAATAAACAAAAAATCAATGAAAAAAACAATTAAGCGAATATGACGTAAAATAAATTTCTTTTAAAATCATCCTGATGTCGAACGAATTCGAAAGTGCTTTCTCGAATGGGAACAGAATGGAAGAGAAAATAACGAAAATTTTAAATTTCTCAGGTGGTGATTATAATTTTTTTTTAATGACAATTTGAAATTGGCAGAAAATTTAAGTCTCACCATCTCCAGAGATTCGGGTAATGATAGATGACGCAGAGAAGGATCCATTTCTTAGCGATGCAGGCGGAAAACGCCTTGTTGGCGATCGCGACCAGCACCCAATCTGCGAATGACGCCACGTCCATGTTGAACGCCTTGAATTTGCTCTGCGACGAAAATGGAACATGAAATCGTGTGTCTTACTTGATTTGCGCAATTTTTGAAGCTCTCTTGGGGCCCCACAATTGATAAGTATGTGGTGGCCATGAAAAGGCGCAACATTTTGCCATTAAATAAACATATATTCGAACCTTCATTGTCCCATTATTTTTAGTTTGGATATCAAGTCACCATTACAGATTGTTTCAAAGGAAATTGGCTGTCATGTTTCTCTGTTTCCTATGCCAAAAGTTATAATCATAGCGTACTTCTTCCTTAAGTATCCATTCTTCATTAAACTAAATTACTGACTGTTGACCCACAACAATTGCTAGATATAGGATAACGTGATTTTTTTAAAAGAGAATCTTTGTATTCTTGATGCAATAAATCTCAAACATAGGTACTATCCAAGATAATCGCTTACCATGTCAATGCATTCCCCTTTCATATTAATGGAATTAGCGTAGATGCTTGTGTCGACGAAGCCTGGCTGCAAGGTGGTGATTTTGATCCCATTTCCCGCCTCCTCCATCAGCAAGGTGTCGTAGAATCCCTGTGGAGAAAAAATACATTAATCATGAATAGGAAATGTAATACAGATGTTCATTCCCTGTCACATCTCAGCCAAATTGAGAATGAACAAAAAGAACATGCCAATGAACCATAATTGCTTCTTAATCCAACCACATTTTTACGTATGTGTGGGTGAGTCTTCAATGAATAATGCTGAAGGCAAGCAAAGCCAAGAATACAGCCTAAAATGTTTCCACCATAAAAATGTCACATTTTAAAGCCGTTAAATGGTTCCCAGTAATTCGTTCTTCGTCGCCTAGCGAGGATGATGGAAATATAATGGGTACGGGTCAGTTTCGTAATTTTACTCAATATCAGTCAATTTCAGAGTCGCTAACTGCTTCTAGCCGCTCCTTAATGTCTTGATTATGTTTCTTGTCCACACTTCGGTCGATGACATATCTGATCAGCTTGATTGGATTCACATTTCCACCCAGAATTGGACATAGATGAAAGCCTTTCCCAGGTTGGTCCTGGGCAGCCTGCCTACGTTTTTGTGCTGGATTGAAGCAATGTTGACAAGAGACTTCACAGCATTGGGGAGGAGTCNGGTCTCGACACCGAGTGGCTGTGTTGTAGACTGCAGTAACCAGCCAGGGCAGACAGGTGCGCCCCACATAGCACCCTGCTTTGAAAGTACATCCCAATGTAGACTTTTTTTCTTGTCCTAACGGTGTTCATGCTTCATTGAAGTGCGAAAGTGCCACGTGAAATTATTGGTGGAATGGGCTTCGACAAGTGATGTCGGCGTGTTCATTGCTAGATTGCCGTTTCGCTTCTGGGGTTTTGCTAAATTCTTTTCACTTGCCTCTGTTGACACACTGCTACATTCGCATGAGCCATCGGGGACATTGTTCACAACGCATTGAATAGGATCTTAATGGAAAACCACCTGGCAAGATGTCTGGAAAGGTACGTGAGGAGACAGCCAGCCCGAGATCAAACTTTTTAATACTAATCACATGATAAGCGGTGTCATCAAAGCCGAGGACGCATGTCTCACTCCCTCCAAACAGAAGAGAGGGAAATAATATTAGTGTTATACTGAATAGTTACGCAATGTTTCAAGCTTCATCACAATCATCGCTCAACAATCACAAAATATGAATGCACAGGTTAAACGTTTATATATTCCTCTCAAAAAATATACGTCCCTCCAGAAAGCACAAAGGCTTATTTATTCTAGGCTTTTATGGCGTTTCATTTTTTGGTAGAAAGGAGTACTTCGTTCTTGCATTTTTCTTGGTTAAGTTGCTTGAAAGGACGGTAAAAAGTAAGCATGGAATACGACGTGATGTCGTCTACTTCCTCTTGGTGAAGACGTTCGAAAGCATATCCCCTGTTCTCACCACGATCCTGGAATCGAAACCGTTCAGGAATGAAGACTAGGATCGATAAGTTTGAAAAGCATAATTGATGTATTTCTCAATGGTTCATCGCACATGTAACTTTTTTTTTTGCTTTTTTTTTCATCAGACTGAGGCGATGGTAGAATGAACCACGACGTCACTGCAGCGGAATTTCATCGCGACGACGCCTCATCATTGAATTTTCAATCAGCAAGCATTAATCTGTCCAGTTAATTTTACCATGACATACATTTAGATAGATGTTACCATTGTTTTTTGCGAGAAAACACGGAAGCCAAGAAATGGGAGGGAGAGTATCAAAAACAGCTTTTCCAAGCCGCAAGTAATGGAATTGAGTGGAAGACCAAAAACTGCAAATGAGGGACAAACACGAATAGAGATATCAATAAACAAAAAATCAATAAAAAAAACAATTAATTAAACGAATATGACGTAAAATAAATTTCTTTTAAAATCATTCTGATGTCGAACGAATTCGAAAGTGCTTTCTCGAATGGGAACAGAATGCAAGACAAAATAATGAATATTTTAAATTTCTCAGGCGGTGATGGTTTTTTTCAAAGGAAAATTTCAAATTGGCAGAAAATTTGAGTCTCACCATCTCCAGAGATTCGGGCAATGATAGAGGACGCAGAGGAGGATCCACTTCTTGGCGATGCAGGCGGAAAAAGCCTTGTTGGCGATCGCGACCAGCACCCAATCCGCGAATGACGCCACGTCCATGTTGACCGCCTTGAATTTGCTCTGCGACGAAAATGGAACATGAAATCGTGTGTCTTACTTGATTTGCGCAATTTTTGAAGCTCTCTTGGGGCCCCACAATTGATAAGTATGTGGTGGCCATGAAAAGGCGCAACATTTTGCCATTAAATAAACATATATTCGAACCTTCATTGTCCCATTATTTTTAGTTTGGATATCAAGTCACCATTACAGATTGTTTCAAAGGAAATTGGCTGTCATGTTTCTCTGTTTCCTATGCCAAAAGTTATAATCATAGCGTACTTCTTCCTTAAGTATCCATTCTTCATTAAACTAAATTACTGACTGTTGACCCACAACAATTGCTAGATATAGGATAACGTGATTTTTTTAAAAGAGAATCTTTGTATTCTTGATGCAATAAATCTCAAACATAGGTACTATCCAAGATAATCGCTTACCATGTCAATGCATTCCCCTTTCATATTAATGGAATTAGCGTAGATGCTTGTGTCGACGAAGCCTGGCTGCAAGGTGGTGATTTTGATCCCATTTCCCGCCTCCTCCATCAGCAAGGTGTCGTAGAATCCCTGTGGAGAAAAAATACATTAATCATGAATAGGAAATGTAATACAGATGTTCATTCCCTGTCACATCTCAGCCAAATTGAGAATGAACAAAAAGAACATGCCAATGAACCATAATTGCTTCTCAATCCAACCACATTTTTACGTATGTGTGGGTGAGTCTTCAATGAATAATGCTGAAGGCAAGCAAAGCCAAGAATACAGCCTAAAATGTTTCCACCATAAAAATGTCACATTTTAAAGCCGTTAAATGGTTCCCAGTAATTCGTTCTTCGTCGCCTAGCGAGGATGATGGAAATATAATGGGTACGGGTCAGTTTCGTAATTTTACTCAATATCAGTCAATTTCAGAGTCGCTAACTGCTTCTAGCCGCTCCTTAATGTCTTGATTATGTTTCTTGTCCACACTTCGGTCGATGACATATCTGATCAGCTTGATTGGATTCACATTTCCACCCAGAATTGGACATAGATGAAAGCCTTTCCCAGGTTGGTCCTGGGCAGCCTGCCTACGTTTTTGTGCTGGATTGAAGCAATGTTGACAAGAGACTTCACAGCATTGGGGAGGAGTCGTTGCATTGCGGGAAAGGCATAGTTTTCAAACAGTAAACAATGTTGTTTGTTTTCACATATTTTTCCGTCTTACTCTTGCCTTGGTTGCTGATTAATCTTCCCAGAAAAATCTCCTCCCTCCATTAATTGACGACCCACTGTCAACACTATTTCTGATATTGTTCCATTGGTGGATTTCAAAGCTAGCCCTGCCGATCGCACACCAAGCAGTAATGCAAAGGATTACCTAAAGTAACTCTTTACTCTGCTTTGTCCAAACCAATGCGCTTCTTCCAAGTTGTCATCCATGGGGAAGGTAACAGAGACTACTCCTTCAGCCGGTATCGCAAGGTATCAATAGGAGAACCAGGCCAGCAAGTAAATCGCTTTTACCTGTCGTGAATCACGGTATGGACGCGCCATCCACGCTCTATAATTAAAGAAAAATACTAATGGATTTGAAGCACTCGTACTCGAAGCGTACCCTTAATCATGCGGATCAACCCCTTGGTTACTGGGTCAGGCAATTCTCGCGCATCCGGCGCTAGCATCACGAAAAAATATTTTTTAAAGAAATATCTATTCCCAAAGATTTCGAGAATGAGGATCTCCAGATGAAAATTCAATGTTCCTGTTGGGTTCCTACATATTGAATGTAACCCTGTCTGTGGACGTCATTCTCTCCTTTGCATATAAATCTCCAAAACTATATAGCAGCCGACACAAGGTCATTAGTTCAGTGTTTTACCAACAATAACTCTTGGTTGACAATGGGGAGTTTTCCCTAACAATTCTTATCGATATATTCTCTCCTTTGCATATAAATCTCCAAAACTATATAGCAGCCGACACAAGGTCATTAGTTCAGTGTTTTACCAACAATAACTCTTGGTTGACAATGGGGAGTTTTCCCTAACAATTCTTATCGATATTGAGGCACAAGGACTCTAAGGAAATCCCCTTTCAAACTCCCAAAGAAGAAAAACAGATATCCATGAGAATACTAGGTATATATCATACCGTAAATACAGGTCATAGCTCTCAATGTTTCCGTTTCGTGGAAGGAAGTGTGTGCATGGAAATAGCATTGACCTAAGCGTCCGTAAGTAGACTGGGCATAACCACTCTAAGTCAAAATGTCGCGGGGAAAATCTTCCTACCCGTTTCCCTGCTATAAAAATACTTTATAATGTAACTCATTCCATCCGCAAGCGTATTGGTAGAACAACAACCCTTGTCCTTCCACCTAGCTCAGAATCTAGAAAGGCATAAGGCAAAAGGTCTCGTGTCTCAGGCTAATGGAGCAAGGCTCTCGAACAGATGGGTTGACAAGTTCCTGAATGAGAAAGGGCCAATATTGGTGTAAGCTTGAGTGTCTATCCGAAGGTGAGATCTTGCCCTACTTAGTCCGTCCCCTCTGGACACGCACCTTCAAAGTCAGATGTCATCTGCAGTATGCAATCCAACAGGGACTCCTTAAAGTTATTTAATGAAGAATCAGTGTTCGTCTTGGGATAATCAGGATCGTAATAGTCATTAGTGCAATCCACACAATATGGAATATTATCTAGGAAGCACCACTTCCGAGGATCACGCATCATCGCAAACCGGTCACGTTACAGCTCACTCACCTGAACTGCCCCTTTGGAAGCACAATAGGCGGAAACCTTGGGAGCGGAGAAGAATGAAAGGACGCTGGATGTCACGACGATGTGCCCTGCTTTCCTCTGCCTGAAATGGGGCAGGAGGGCCATGGCCAACCCGACGTTACCGAAGAGGTTCACGTCGAATAACCTCCGTGTCAAGTCCAGTGGTGTTTCATATGCCTTTTGGAAGATGTTCATCCCTGCGTTGTTTATACCATGGCCAACCCGACGTTACCGAAGAGGTTCACGTCGAATAACCTCCGTGTCAAGTCCAGTGGTGTTTCATATGCCTTTTGGAAGATGTTCATCCCTGCGTTGTTTATCAGGATATCCACCTGAAGGAAACAATACAACTTTAGTACATGTTGCCCGTTTATTGGGATCAATTTGCCATTCGTGGGTGACCGCTTCATCTTTTACTCTGGCCGGCCGATAGATCACGTGTATTTCGTCTATGAATTGGCTGAATGGGGAAACAGAAATTTCCAAAAATTTTCCGGGAAAAAAAAAAGTAAACTTATTTATATTGGACAGGCGACTCATAACTGAAGGGTAGTCCGCGCTGCTCGGAGAAATGTTTTGAACCATGGTAACATCCGCAAAAAACTGATGAGAATAATGCATGAGACAATTTCAAAGGCAAACATCGTTACTGCAATACTAACGTCAAAAATATGAAATCGTCATCGCTAGCAATATTTGGAAAAGGATTGGAAATTTCATATTTGTCAGACGCCTGTAATCCCGATGGTGTTGGGGCCACGAATGTAATTCTTTCTTGCGAGAAATTCGGGGGAGGATACAGGTTAGCACGCATCGATGACCCTGTCTAGACTTTCCATTTTGAAGTGACTGAATTGCCTCATGAGCAGATTCCGATTTGAGGATGAAGCAAAATTTAGCATTCAATTGGCCGGCATTGGCAAATATGTCAACTGTGCCAGAAGGTAAAACTAATTTGGTTTCAAAACGACTGCCGTAGAGAAAAAAAAATTAATGAGGCCTAAAAAGTATGTATCCTATAAAAGGGAAATTCATTGGAAGGAAAACCAGTTTTCTTCAAAATCTTCTGAAATAAACAAATTATATTTCTATCCATACCGTCTTGAAATGTTGCAGAACGTGCCGAACCCATTTTTCGTGCGATTGAATCTCGGCAATGTCTCCGTAAAGGATGAGAATGTCTTCCTCGCTCAGGCGTCCTTGCGCGTTCTCTGCGGTAGAAAGAAAGGGATTCTCCAGCCCGCGTGCTTGAATGTGTACCGTGCAGGAAGGGCATTCCTTTTCCCTCACCGAGGCAGAGGGCTTTCACGGAGTCGAGATCTTCGCCTTGAAGACTATGGAGGACGAGCTTGGCTCCGACCTTGGCCATGGAGACGGCCAGTTGTCTTCCAATCCCCGACCCTGCACCAGTAATCCATACTACCTTCCCGTTTAGCCTCTCTGAATGTTGGAAAAAAAACATGTATCTGCTTCAAATTGCTTCATAGAATAAATCTTAACTGTACTCCTGCGGAAATTCATGCAAAGAATGTCGGAAAGCATGAGACAATTCGCACCACTTTCCATAAATCTACTTTCCCGTTGATTTCACATGCATTTCTTTATTAGAAACTAAGAGTCTGAGAAACGGATATTCCATTTTTCAACACTGCAATTTAGGAAAAAAATACAGTAAAATATATAGCGCCACTATGAATCCCCAGCGCCTAACCTAAGTATAGCATTTTGTTTTTTGGCGGGATGGGGATAATAATGGAATGGCTGTGAATGTGCAACAAGTCCCACGTAGTCTCCCTGATGAAGTGGACGAAGGAATACCCCATATCCGGAAAAAGGCAAGCGCAGTGAGACAAGAAAGGAAAAAAAACACAATTACCTGGTGATTTCCCAAAGTACTTGAAGAAATACAGAGTAATATCACATTCAATTTTGAGGAGCACGAGCAGGAAGATCGCTATCCCCGAGAGCCACAGGAGGACGCAGAGGAGCATGGTGGCTTCGCCGCGCGTTTGGCCTGTGGAGAGCGTTCACTAATAAAGGGGGAAAAAAAAGAGGACTGGTTTGTGTGAAAGGACGGTTTGGATTTCGAGGAGACTGGGATGGGATGTTATGCAATGGCTCGATTCCCGCCGAGGGCTGGCCTCGCGTGATTCCCATTCGCACATGAACGGATGGAATTGAGAAAGGGAAAGGTTGAAATGCCATGAAGTCCAGACTCGGTTCAATGGATGATGAGCGTTTTCGTGGATCGGCATGGTTCGCCTGAATGACCGTGGGTGGACCGATTTTTTTAAACCTTTTTTCCTGAGTTAATTCGCAGTTGATGGGGAATGCTGGAAGTCTCTCGCAACGTGCACGACGGAAATGACTGCCAATTAAATTGGCCCGGGTTGAAGCATTCGGTTGCTTCGTGCCCAGAGGGAGGTCGCCGACATATCCCGGCACGCATGCATCCAAACCGTCCTCGATCTCCGCGCTCACGTGCATGGCAGGTGGAGTGAAGGCGCGAGCCCTCATCCGCGCCGGCCTCCTCTGCATGCGAGAGACGCGACTGCGCATGCCTCCTCTCTCCCGGCTCCTTGGTCCACGCTTTTTCCTCATGGCGGCGGCGTTTCCTTTAATTACTTCTTGCCAGCACGCGCGGCTCCTTGAATTTTTTTTAATGATTACGGATGTACTGAAATTGAAATATTTTTTCAGTCGAGTTGCATGCCATTTTGCGCCATTAGAGGACCGCCTTTTGAACCTATGTATGCACCATTCAAATTGCACCATTGCACCATTTAAAAGACCATTTAAAACACCATTTAAAGACACCATTCAAAAGACTAGGGAATTCTCTAGCCGGAGATGAGTGTTCATAACTCTTTTCCCCAATCATATCCTATTCACTGAGTCAGAAATTAATTTATCATCTTCGAGGAATTTCGAGCGAAAAGGTCCTTGGACACTGCGTCCAATTCATTCCAATTAAATAAATCTGGGGCGAACGACGGATTACCGATCGGCTCAGCTTTATTCCAGATCATGGCCATTGTCTTGTTTAAGTCTTGAAGCCGCATGGTATTAGAGATTTGACCAATCAACATTTATCAGCAAATTGATTTTTTCTTTGTATTAGCTTAAAAAAATCGTTGTCCGGAATGGAATTAAGCCTCCCTGGCCCGTGCGAGATAGTTTTCCTACCCCTGTCGAGTTTTTCCGTGGTATCTCTCGGAAGCTTTTTTCTTTGTGCATCATTTCCTGTCAGTTTCTCAAAGATATATCAATCTTTATAATTATCAAGCCGGGAAACACGTACCTGCGGTACCTTTCGCTCTGAAATGAATTGTGGTGGCTCGAACACCCCGGGCCTGCGATGGTTAAGAGAGTTTATCACAGATAATTTGCTCCGCATTCGGACTAATTAAACTGGATGGCCTGGTCGCGAGTTCTCGAGGATCGGAAGGGGCAACGGTCTCTGGGTGTTAGGTCGTGGGCCAGAAGGATTGAGGGGAGGGTGTGTTATTATGCATGGGCGTAATAATATGCATCGGCATAATAACAGGGACGTGAAAGGAAAATGTCAATGGAAAACTTATATTGTAATTTTTTTTAAATCACGCATTCTCAAGATTTCTACAAGGAGTTGACTCCTTTGATGATCCTAGAAATGGGACAATATTCCAACCAAGGTTCTTGGAGGCATGCTTAGCAACCTAAAGGCCATTCATTTCTTCGTATAAACTTCAGAAACGCGCTAATGTAAGAGACCATTCTGGCCTGGGTCAGCTTCCACCGAGGAGGGCCTGTCGCCAAGGATATCTATCCCAAGCTAAAACGTCTCCAATGTTCAAGAAATTGCACAGAGAGCGAGAGAGGGCATGAGCGGCCTTCCACGCGCCTTCGCGCGCCTTCACGCGCCTTCGCGCGCCTTCACCTGTGAGTGGCGGGATCGAGGAGGGATCGAATTCATGCTACGTGCTCGAGCCAAAAAAAAGGCCAACGATGGAATCTTCCCTTGAATCGTTTTAAAAAGTTGCCGTCGCAGTAAAGTCATTGGCAGAAAATCATCCGAAGACCTTTCATTCCTAATATTTAAAAAATCCTTTAAAAAAAGTCTAAATTATAAAATGTATAAATCGAGTTCGTGCCTGCAATCGCTCGATTGGGACTGAATGCTACAGTTCCAGCGGTTCTTTTCGAACCGGCTCCAACATTTTTGGCAAATTTATGGCTGGCTAGGGTTGCTTCAAAAGCGCTATAGCGACCCTCAAGGTCATTGATTGTCCTTAGCAAAACTGAGCCTGGCACTTTATTGATTTCGCCAAGGAGTTCTGCCGGCTAGCACTGTGTCCATGCGCCACTCACTTTATTATTATTATTATTTTTGTGATGATAAGCTTTTTATCAACAACCTCCACGTGAACGAAGGTGAGGGAGAAAAACGGGAAATTATATTCATTTTAAAATTAAAATCGAGAGTTCCCACGAAGTACTTTTTTTCCTCGCTGCGGCTCGGCAAGTTGCTCCATTAGTATTTCGTCTCATTACGAGCGACAGGAACAACGAGGATTGGCTGCAATAATTTCTGCAAGTGTAATAATGGCGACTAGTTTTAATAATATATTTTTATTCCGGCGATTTTGAATCCAGCAAGAGAGAAAAATGAAGTCTCAGAAACACCGCAAAAAAAAACAAACAAATGAGACGAGTCTCGAAGAAAGGCTCAAAGTGTCAATATGTTTCATCTCGAGTATCACCCTTCGCCAATTCCTCTTCGCGTGCTAAAACCTAGCCATTTCTGCATCATTGGGAAATGCTCGCGCGGCGAGATTCCGATGATCGCAAAAAACTAAATTCGATTTTAAAATAAATTTAAACACAAATTTAAAACGCTAATTTATTTTGCATACTGAGGGCACCATGAGTCCGAAAAATCTCGCAGCATTCTCGTCCGGCTTTGAAGAGGGAAGTCGTCGAGTCAAGTAGTCGTTGACTGCAGGAGGACCACTTCGAGGGTGAAGATGGCTCCCAACACCTGTTCGAGAGAGAGTGGACATTTTCCTTGAAGCTTGCCGAAGGAGAAAATTATTGGTTTCAGACGTTTTCCCAGACGAAACCCGGACGGGAATCAATCACTGACATTGAAAATTGAGGACGTATTGCCCAACCACTCCAGGGATGATAATAATATGAAATAAAATAAAATATTAAAAATGAAATAAAATATTTAAAATAAAATAAATAAAAATGAAATACAATATTAAAAATTAAATAATAAAAAATGAAATACAATATTAAAAATTAAATAATAAAAAATGAAATTAAATATTAAAAATTAAATAATAAAAAATGAAAATAAATATTAAAAATTAAATAGATAAAAATAAAATGAACGATAATAAAAAATATGTAGTTCGTGCCATAACGTCTTAAAGAAAAGAGGGACTGACGCCGAGAACGAAGCTCCGAGTGATGAGGAACGCCCCCGCCCCGCTCAGTGCCTGGGTCCTCTTCAGGGATTTCTCCAATCGCCAGGTCTGAAAGCACATTTCTGGTTTCATTGGGCCGTTTCGCTCCAAGTCCATTGGGCCAATTGGTCCAAGTAAAAAACTTGGAGCTCCTCGGTTTGATTTCTCTTGAATGGGACGTCGCGGACGACGCCGTCGAGTCATTTAATAATAATAATGGTACTCCGGTACGACTTGACTTGATAAGTCAAGGCGTGCAGGAGCTGGTACCGTCTAAGTAAAGGATCGCCTTAAAGGACCTGCGCATTCCGAGCTGAAGAAGGAATGGACTTTTTACTGAAATTATTTAAAATAAAGTCGAACTCGGTTATAACGTCATCGAAGGGAGCAGGGAAAAATCGTCGCCTTCATTGCAAATCGGTTGTCCTGCCTTGACTTCACTTCAAGCATTGGCCCGGTAATTGGCCCGGTAATTGGCCCGCACAAACTCCAGCAAGGATTTGTCGACGCCATCAAGAGCAGATAAGTTTCTTTTTTTTTTGGCACGTTCTTTTCGACGGATGGTTCTTTTCTGAGTACGGATGAAGTTCTCACGATTTTCCCAAATTGTGAAAATGTGGTCAACGAGAAATGCAAATGGCGACTGAAGAGAATGTGATCTTTCCTTAAATTTTTTTCTAAATTTTTTTTTTTTTTTTTGTCCAGGAAAGAAGAAGTTGTGGCGAGCCATAACTTAATCAAGCCCACACTTTCGATGATGGAAATTCCAGTTCGAGAATGACGAATCGGAGACGTCAACGTTGTCTATTTCGTCAGTGGGACCTCGAATGGACTTCGTCATAACCGAGGTTCATGCTATAACCGAGCTCGTTATAACCGAGGTAAAGTTGCACGTACCTTATGGGCCCTACGCCGGGACCGGCCACTCTTCGTCGTTATAACCGTTGTTTAATTATAACTGAGGTTTCGTTATAACCGAGGTTTCGTTATAATCGAGGTTTCGTTATAATCGAGGTTTCGTTATAATCGAAGTTTCGTTATAATCGAGGTTTCGTTATAATCGAGGTTTCGTTATAATCGAGCTCTACAGTATGGAAATACCTCTTGACAGTA